GAGAAAAAGGTTAGAATAAAAAATCCTGCCACCCCCCGCCCTCCAGAGAGGCCTCTGCACAGAATGACCCAACATACAAAATAATCTAAAAGGAGAAAACTATACAGGAGTATTTACACCTCTGATAAATAGACTAATACTGATCCGCGTGCCTCTCTCCCAACCGTGCGCGGTGGCTGGGGGAACAGGACAAGACACGGGTGTTTGCAAAGTGGAGGCAGGGGGGGTCGGCCAGCCCCCTCAACAGCAGCCGTCCCTGGCGCAGACTCCAGGCATGTCCCACCGCCTGCTCAGGAGCAAGGGCTCGTGCTCGAGGAGACGACGACCACCCCTGGCACAGCCTCCCCTGCCCCTTGCCCAGGGGATCATGCTGCAAGGACGTGCTGGGGGCAATGCCACCCCGTGCTGCTGGACCAGGCCTCTCATCTGAGCTCTGGCACCCTGCGGCTGCGCGAGGACACGTCTGTGCCCCATGCAGCACCGCTGCACACCATGGCGGTTACAATGCCCTGCCCCTCAGCCCTCCCTGTGCCCGTGGGGACCATCCCTGGTGCAGGGGACAGCTGGGAGGGTCCAAGGCAGCAGTGTGGGGAAGCCCAGGACAGACCAAGGCCCGCTACAACGAGGGCCAGGAGTTGTGCCTCTGCAGGGCCCTCCCAGCTGTCCTGGAGCTGCTGTGCCTCACCCTGGTGCCTGCAGCACCCCAAAACCGCCAGCTGCTAACCACCAGCTGTGCACCTTCCCGACAGGACACCCCAAGTGCTTCATGACGCGGGTGCCGGGGGGGACCCAGCAGCACGTGCAGCTGCACACTTGCTGGGGGATCAGGAGCAGGGAGGCTGCCCATGGAGCCTGGCTGGCCGAGGCAGGAGGGGAGGACGGTCCACACAGGCAGCGCTCCCCATCCTGCAGCCGAGCCCAGTGTAGGACAGGGCTCCCTGCGTGCAGTGGTGTCCATGTCCCAGCTCCAGCCTGTGAAGATGCTGTCCTGGAGATGAGGCAGCGATGGAGGGGCCAGAGCCACCAAGATGCCTGCGCCCTCTCCTCCTCCCCATGGTAAAGAAACTGTGAAGCTGAAGCTGGGTCCTGGGCCCCGAGGGCCAGGCTGCAGCGTGCCCCCAGCCCTGCAGCCCTCTAGGGAGAGGGGACACTCCAGCTGCCGGGGGCATGCCAGCCTCACAGGGCCAGTGGAGGCTGCTAGTGTCTCTTGGTGGAGGAGACCTTCTTCTTCCTGGCAGCCAGCATCTCGTAGAAAGGGTCCCGGCTGATCGCTGCCCTGGCAGGGGGAACGAGGGCTCTGGTTAGCCACACAGCCACGCAAAAACTGCTGTAGGGGTGGGTCTGTCCTGCCTGGCAGGGCCTCGGGCAGGTCCCTTTGTGCCCCTGGGAAACCGGTTCCCCCCATCCTTGCAGGCTGCCCTGCAATGCCCTGCCTCAAGTGCAGCAGACAGGTCCCTGCTGTGCCCCTGCCCAGCACTGTGCCCTGCCCAGCACCCTGCTACCTGCTCCTCAGAGCACTCACTTGATGCACTTGATCCACTCCTCCTTCTCCTCAGGCGTGGGGGCAGAGATGCGGTACACTGTGTGGTTCCCTTCCACCACCCGCCCGTCCGCCTCCGTCTTGCAGGCCTTGATCACCTGGTCCTTGTTGTCAGGGATGTAGAGCTCAAAGCAGTTCTGGAAGGGAGGACACCATTCAGAGACAGTCCCCACTTCCAAAGGGGACCCCAGGCTGGGAGGGACGATAGAGAGCCCCGAGGCTGCAGGCACTCCCCTGGCACAGCCACCTGCAGCGCAGCAGACAGGGATGGACATGCTGTGACCGTCACCCACAGCCCCCTGGCATGCCCTGCCAGCAGCCCTGGGCACTGCGGTGACCGGTGACTGTGGTCTGCACCCAGCCGCTGTGAGGTGTAGGGGCGGCGACCGCTGCGGGGCCCTCCCACCTCTCCCGGGGGCAGGGGCTGCAGCACCTCCCAGGTTTCCCCACCCCACTCCTGCCCCAACCAAAGCACCAGGGCTGCCCCTCCAGCCCTGGGGGAACCCAACGCTGCACTCACGGGCTTCTTTGAGTCCTCCACCTCGCGGATGCTCAGGTTCTCCAGGGGGATGATGCCACGGGGCTCTTTATCCTGGTGGGGCCAAGCAGAGGCTTTAGCTCAGGCTGGACGCCACGAAACCCCACCTGCGTGCCCCAGGCAGGGCTGGATGCTGCAGACACCCCTCTCCTCAACACCCCTCTGCACAGGCGTCTAGTGCTGCCTGCTCTGAGGACCGCGTCCTGCACCCCTACAGTCCCTGGCACCCCAGCACGGCAAGAGGCAAGCAGCCAGCCCCGCACGAGGATGCTGTGCCTGGTCTGTGCCACACATGTGGATCCGGCACCCTGCCCTGCCCCAGCTCAGCATGCCCCGAGCAAGGGTCACTCACCGTCGTGTACTCAAAGTAGTAAAGGCAGTTGTCAGTCAGGATGAACCAGCGTCGCTTCCACGTCTTCACCCTGCCTCCTGGGAGCAGAAAGGGGCAGGTTGGGCGCAACTCTGGCAACGCGCGGACAGGGCACGCGCCTGGAGGCTCGCGGCACACGGAGGCTACGGCAGAGCTGGAGCCCACGCGGACACACACAGACAAGCACCAGGCGCCGGGGCGCAAGCAGAGCCAGGCAGCCCGGCGGGCACTGGGCGC